ACGTTAATGTTCTCCCACTTTCCTTGTAATCTCTATTTGGGGTATGAGGTGGTGGTTTTATATATATTCTATGTGAAAACTCAATAAAACTTAAAAAAACTTAAAAAAAGATTTCACATTGCTTTGAAAAGATGAAAATCTCCGTACTTGTGCCTCATTGCTCTTTCCAAGGTAGTTGTGAAAAAATTGGAGATGGTAGAATCATAGAATCATAGAATTGGAAGAGACCTCATGGGCCATCCAGTCCAACCCGCTGCCAAGAAGCAGGAAAATTGCATTCAAAGCACCCCCTGACAGATGGCCATCCAAGCCTCTGTTTAAAAGCTTCCAAAGAAGGAGCCTCCACCACACTCCGGGGCTGAGAGTTCCACTGCTGAATGGCTCTCACAGTCAGGAAGTTCTTCCTCATGTTCAGATGGAATCTCCTCTCTTGTAGTTTGAAGCCATTGATCCGCGTCCTGGTCTCCAAGGAAGCAGAAAAAACAAGCTTGCTCCCTCCTCCCTGTGGCTTCCTCTCACATATTTATACAAGGCTATAATATCTCCTCTCAGCCTTCTCTTCTTCAGGCTAAACATGCCCAGCTCCTTAAGCCGCTCCTTATAGGGCTTGTTCTCCAGACCTTTTATCATTTTAGTCGCTCCTGGACACATTCCAGCTTGTCAATCTCTCTCTTGAAATGTGGTGCCCAGAATTGGACACAATATTCCAGGTGTGGTCTAACCAAGGCAGAATAGAGGGGTAGCATTACTTCCTAGATCTAGACACTATGCTCCTATTGATGCAGGCCAAAATCCCATTGGCTTTTTTTGCCGCCACATCACATTGTTGGCTCATGTTTAACTTGTTGTCCACGAGGACTCCAAGATCTTTTTCACACGTACTGCTCTCGAGCCAGGCACCCCCCCATTCTGTATCTTTGCATTTCGTTTTTCCTGCCAAAGTGGAGTATCTTGCATTTGTCACTGTTGAACTTCATTTTGTTAGTTTTGGCCCATCTCTCTAATCTGTCAAGATCGTTTTGAATCCTGCTCCTGTCCTCTGGAGTATTGGCTATCCCTCCCAATTTGGTGTCGTCTGCAAACTTGATGATCTGCCTTCTAGCCCTTCATCTAAGTCATTAATAAAGATGTTGAACAGGACCGGGCCCAGGACGGAACCCTGTGGCACTCCGCTCGTCACTTCTTTCCAGGATGAAGAGGAAGCATTGGTGAGCACCCTCTGGGTTCATCCATTTAACCAATTACAGATCCACCTCACCGTAGTTTTGCCTAGCCCACATTGGACTAGTTTCCTTGCCAGAAGGTCATGGGGGACCTTGTCGAAGGCCTTACTGAAATCCAGGTACACTACATCCACGGCATTCCCCGCATCTACCCAGCTTGTAACTCTATCGAAAAAAGAGATCAGATTAGTCTGGCATGACTTGTTTTTGATAAATCCATGTTGACTATTAGCAATGACCGCATTTGTTTCTAAGTGTTTGCAGACCACTTCCTTAACAATCTTTTCCAGAATCTTGCCTGGTATTGACATGAGGCTGACCGGACGGTAGTTGTTTGGGTCATCCTTTTTTCCCTTCTTGAAGATTGGTAGAGGGGCCAAAGGTATGTACCCTTGCCCCCACCCTACAAAAAACCTTCCCCAATGTCCTAATGATTATTTCCTTGAATGCCTTAGAAAGAAATGGACCCCTGAGATAAAGCAGAGTTTTGGCTGAGGGCCCAAAAGACCCATCTGGGTCAAACACGCCAAGCCTTGTTTGACCTTACTACAGTGGCGTGTTTGGAGGAAAGGAGAGTGTGCCTCTTACTGACAAAATCAGGAAGAACTCCAAAGGCATCGGTTGGGGCAGAGGGGGGAGCAAAAAAATATTGCGGCCTGGATGTTTGCTTAGGGATTCTGGGCATGTTTGTGCCTAGAAGCTTTTCCTTCCTTTCTGCATCTTTTAGCTTGCTCCATCAATTTTGTCATTTACGACTCTCAAAGTTTGCTATACAGGGAGAAAGCTAGAAACAAAAGCTTCATTCTAACGGCAACAGAGAATTACTGCAGTGATAAATCATGTTGCACTTTCCTGGCCGTCTGCCTGATTATGAGGAACAGAGATTGAATGGAAGTGCCCAGAACCTGAGCAGCGGATACAAAATAAATCAATTTGTCTGTCGGCTCTGAAGGACGGGGTGCGGATCCCACTTTGGCTACTATTGGATTCTGCTGTCCTGGAGAGAGCAGTCAATTGGTAACATAAAATGATCTCCTACCACCATTTTTTGCAAGTGGCATACAGCTTTTCTCATGTCTTGGTGAGCTAATGTGGCCTCCCAAGTCTCTGTAACACAGAACACATGATTATCCTATTGTTGAACAATACTGACTCCTTTTAAAAAAATACATAAGGTAAAGGTAAAGGTTTCCCCTGACATTAAGCCTAGTTGTGTCCAACTCTGGGCTTAGAATTTCCATTTCTAAGCCGAAGAGCTGGAATTGTCCATAGACACCTCCTAGCTCATGTGGCCAGCATGATTGCATGGAGCACCATTACCTTCCTGCAGAAGCAGTACCTATTGATCTAATTGATGAGGAGATATTGGAAAAATAGATATTTATTGATTTATGCATAAAATTGTATGTACTTTAAATGTATAGAAAAATCAGGCTCTCTGTGTATAGAAAGAATTGACAAGCAAGCTACGTCCCAGGCACAGCCAAGAGGGAGGGGGACATTCCAGGAGAGAGAGATAAGTCCGAGAAGCAACAGGCTGGTACATCTAGGCTCTAAGGAAGGAGCTTCTTGACAGGTCCAAGTGGGTCCCTTGATTGATGAAGCAATGCTTGCTCTTTAGAAACACAGACACATGCTTTTTGCATGTTAGAAGGTAGAATTTGATGCTAAGGTGACGCAGTGAGTGATGTAAATGTATGTAGAAGCATGTTCTTTGTTTGCTTGAACCTGGAATCTATAAAAGCCACAGTCCGCCCCTATTTCATTGCTCTGGTGCTTTAGGAGAGAACTCCTCACCAGGGTCCCAGCTGGAAATAAAAGCCGTACTTTTTAGACCTCCGGAACTCTCTTTGTCTCTTCTTTCCTGAAACCTTCCCCCTACCATTTCATACTCATATTTGCATGTTTTTGAACTGCTAGGTTGGCAGAAGCAGAAGATAACAGCGGGAGCTCACCCTGCTCCCTGGATTCAAACTGCCTGTTGGGACTCAGCCTGTGATTGGACCTGAGCCTGTGCTTGAACCTGTGAATGTGTTTCATCCTGATGTTTCTGTGTCTGATGTGGGTAATGAGGAGAGAAATCAGTTCCCTGTTGCTTCTGATGTGGGGGATGCTGGGACTGACTCTGAGTGAATGCAAGATGGAGACACTTTGGTCAATGAGTTTAATGCAGACACTGACAGAGAGGGCAGATTCTCATGGGAATGTTGCTATCAGGCCTTGGGAGAAAGGTTTACTCTCTCCGTCTGAGAGCTCTCCAGATTCTAGTTTTGGAAAACAGTCTGACACCTGCTAAAGTTAATGAGGAGTCAGATAAGCAGAGTCGGCAGCTGGAGATTAGCCAGAATCGACAAGAGGCCCAATGTTTACATATATCCGAAAGAATTCGTACCAATTAAAGTCAAAGACTGGGGGAAAATGAAACCAGTTTTTGGGATTTAAGGTTAGCCTATAGAAAATCTTGTCAGATCAGGCATCGTTTGGAAACCAAGTTATTGTGCCATGGAAGTCTTGTTCAAGTGTTTCTGTGCGGTTTTTTAGCCGTTTGGATTGTCTTTGCATCCTGTTTGATTCCTGTCTGGATTAATGCTGCTTTGGATTGCCTGTATTTCTTGTGTGGACATTGCTTTGGGTTTCTACTGTTTATGGACTAATACTTTTTGGAATCTTCTGATTTTCTTGCAAGCATTTATTTCTACTGGCTATTTTCTAAGCTTTAATAAAAGAAGATCTGATTCTTCACTCTTCGTGTGGTGTGTTTTAAGTCAGAGGGCTTCTTCGAGACCTGGAGTGCAACACCGCCAACCTTTTGGTCAGCTCAGTGGTTCAACCCGCTGCACCACCAGCAGGCCCTATATACAATAGTCTATATAAATAAATATGTAATGTTCATTTGTGGGATTAACATAACTTAAAACCACTGGATGAACTGACACCAAATTTGGACACAAAACACCTCTCAGGCCGACGAGTGACCATCACTCACAAAAACACTGAAAAACACAGCGGAAGGGACTTTAAAAACCAAAAAAGGGAAAAGACACTACAGCGCATGTGCAAAAGACTCCCCCTGGCAAACAAAACACATAATAGCATATCCATACTCTCTTCTGGACCACAGTTCCCAGCATCYCCTAGACTAGGCCCTTTAGGAGAGGAGGATGATCCAAATGCATTGCTTCCAAGATGCAAGCTTTCTTCTCCTTGGATTTCTTTGAGAGCATCCCAATCCCTGTATATTTCCTATTGCAACTCCCAGCAATCCTCCAGATAGATAGATTAGATAGAGATAGATAGGTAGGTAGGTAGGTAGGTAGGTAGGTAGGTAGATCCATCAGGAGGACTGCTGGGAGTTGCTGTCTAAGAATAGGTAGAGAAGGAAGAAAGGGGAGAAAGGGAAAGGGAAAGAAAAGGAGGGGAAGGAAGGGAAGAAGAAGAGAAGGATGGAAGGAGAGAAAGAAAGTAGGAAGAAAAGGGGAGGGAAGGTTGGCAACAGCAATGCGTGGCAGGTACAGCTAGTAGTAGAATAAAATTCAAGGGAGAGCAGTGGGTGACTTTTCCAGATATTGCCAAAGTTTGTTTGTTTTTTTTACAACGACATCATGGGTCTTCTAACCTAACCAAAAAGTATTGTTTCTAAGAACTGTCCAAAGGCACACTGTTGGATTATGGTATGTTTGGGTCAACTTCAAGTATACTTCTTTTGTCTTGTAAACAAACATCTTGACACAGTCCTGATTTACAGATTAGCTGAGAAAAGCAAAAGGCTGCTATTACCTGTCAATGCCTTGTCAACATCTCTCTGAGTCAGCCCAAAACAGAAACTATCGACTGCCACAGCCAGAGCCTGGGCAAAACTGGCATCCATGAGAAAGGAGCCATCGGAAGAGCTGATCAGGCTGCAGCGGGTGCTGGTGCCGTTATCCTCCGAGACAGAGCCCCATCCATTCACGAGGGAGCCACCCAGCGAGGTCTCGTCTTCACTCAGGCTGGAAGAAGGCGTTCGGCAGAAACCACGGAAGAACTTGGTGGTGCGGCCTCCACCGCTCTCCATGTTGGGATCGTCATCATCATTTTCAAGCAGCTCTGAGGCCAGTGGGCTGCAAATATAGCCATAGGTATCAGGTGAAGCGAAGGTAGGGGCAGTAGCAGACATGCCATCGTTGTGCTGCCTTGAGGGAAAGAGGACAATGCTGACATTAAAAGTGAACCAACGTCATTCCATTATTATTGTGAGCATTCCAAATAATTTAGCCCTGAACTCCGAAAGTCCTTGATCACTGGCTATAGTGGTTAGCATGATGTAACTTGAAATCCAAAGTGTCTGGAGAGTCATATTTGGGAATACCCGATCTAGACAACTTACAAGACTTCCTCCAACTTTTATGATTCTAAGACTATCTGATTAATTCCCCACCTAAAACACTCCAAATGCTTAAAGCTCCTTCTGTTGGAAAGATGCTCGAATTCCAAATACATCACTATTATGGTTGAAAATCTGGAGTTTTGGAGTTCAATACCATCTGTACGCAGATGATATCCAACTCTATTGTTCCTTTCCACTAGATGCTAAGGAGGCTGTCCAGGTCGTGAACCGGTGCCTGGCCGCAGTGATGGTCTGGATGAGAGCGAACAAAATGAAGAGTTCCTCCTGGTCAGTTGCAAGTCCAAACAGGGTATAGGGTTACAGCCTGTGTTGGATGGCATTACACTCCCCTTGAAGGCGCAGGTTCGCAGCTTAGGAGTCCTCCTGGACTCATTTCTGAGCCTACAACCTCAGGTTGTGGTCATGGCCAGGGGGGCTTTCACACAATTAAAACTTGTGCACCAGTTGCACCTATACCTTGGGAAGTCAGACTTGGTGATGGTGGCCCATTCTCTCATTACATCTGGGATAGACTACTGCAATGTGCTCTCCATGGGGTTGCCTTTGAAGACTGTCCGGAAGCTTCAAATAGTCCAACGAGAGGCAGCCAGGTTAATAACTGGGGTGGCATACAGGAAGCATACAACTCCTGCATCAATAGGAGTATAGTGTCAAGATCCAGGGAAGTCATGATACCTCTGTATTCTGCCTTGGTTAGATCACACCTAGAATATTGTGTCCAATTCTGGGCACCACAGTTGAAGAGAGATATTGATAAGCTGGAATGTGTCCAGAGGAGGGTGACTAAAATGATCAAGGATCTGGAGAACAAGCCCTATGAGGAGTGGCTTAAAGAGCTGGGCATGTTTAGCCTTCAGAAGAAGAGACATGATGGTCATGTATAAAAACTTGAGAGGAAGTCAAAGGGAGGAGGGATCAAGCTTGTTTTCTGCTGCCCTGGAGACTAGGATGCAGAACAATGGCTTCAAACTACAAGAAAGGAGATTCCATCTGAACATTAGGAAGAACTTCCTGACTGTGAGAGCGGTTCAGCAGTGGAACTCTCTGCCCCAGAGTGTGGTGGAGGCTCCGTCTTTGGAAGCTTTTAAACAGAGGCTGGATGGCCATCTGTCAGGGATGCTTTGAATGCAATTTCCCTGCTTCTTGGCAGGGAGTTGGACTGGATGGCCAATGAGATATCTTCCAACTCTATGATTCTATGTCAGCTCCATTGTCTGCCTGTTTGCTGCTGGGCACAATTCAAAGTACTGGCTTTGGCGTATAAAACCCTAAATGGCCCTAGCCCAGTTTATCTATCTGAACACATCTCCCTTTATGAACTTCAGCAAAGATTACGAACTTTTGTGGAGGCCCTACTCTCGGTCCTGCCAACATCACAGGCATGCTTGGCGGGAACGAGAGACAGGGCCTTCTCAGTGATTGGCCCCGGGCTATGGAACTCACTTCCTGGCAATATTAGATCACACACCCCTCCCTCCTGTCCCCAGAAGGAGAATGAAGACCTGGCTGTGGGTCCAAGCCTTGGGGCAGTGTAATGAGTCAAAAATAGAATGGTGTCCTGAGATGGTTCTAAAGTTGATATACGTGATTTTAATGTTTGTGTATATTTGTGGTTTGTGTCCCGGCATTGAATGCTTGCCATATATGTGTTGTGCTCTGCCCCGAGTCCCGTGCGGGGTGAGAAGGGTGGAATATAAATGTCTTAAATAAAATAAAATAAATAAATGTCTGCATCTTCTCTAGTTTCTGCAGGACTTCCAACTTATATGGCTCCCATCCAAGAAAGGATTGAACAGAGGTCTTCTTAGGACTTAGCAAAGCCGCAGTAGCAGCAGGCATCCTCAAAGCATTTCTCTATGCCCATCTGTCTGCCTGGCCATTAAGCCCTTCTGCAAAACACACATGAAATCCCTGACAGATGCAAATTTTCCTGTGGTGGAGCTCTGCCACGGATCTTTTTGGTATTTTAGGGCAAAGTGGAATGCTGCCATTTCCAAATGAGCAGTTCAAGAGGGAAGGGCTGCAGAAACCACTGGCTCTGTTGGAGACAGCCAGAAGGGGAAACCAGCAATACAGAGGTTTTCATTTAATTAGCAATTTGTTTGTAACTGCATTTCAGAGATACATTGTCCCAGTTAAATTGCTAGATCAACCTCAGCACTCATGCACACACAAACCTCCAGTTAGTAAGGCCTGCTATGTTTCTTCCTGCTTCATCCTCCTCCTGTTTTCCAGTCTCTGGATAAACTATATCCAGCTTAGTTCTATCTTGAGCAATGGTTCTCAACCTGTGGGTCCCCAGGTGTTTTGGCCTACAACTCTCAAAAATCCCAGCCAGTTTACCAGCTGTTAGGATTTCTGGGAGTTGAAGGCCAAAACATCTGGGGACCCACAGGTTGAGAACCACTGATCTAGAGCAATGTTTCTCAACCTGGGGATCAGGACACCTGGGGGGGCGGGGTCGCGAGGGGGTGTCAGGGTATTTCCTGCTACTCGTGGAGGTTTGGTGTGAGGAAGTTTGGCCCAATTCTATCATTGGTGGGATTCAGAATGCTCTTTGATTGTAAGTGAACTATAAATCCCAGCAACTACAACTCCCAAATGTCAAGGTCTGTTTTCCCCAAACTCCACCAGCATTCACATTTGGGCATATTGAGTATCCATGCCAAGTTTGGTCCAGATCCAGCATGTAGCCAGGGGGGGGGGCTTGGGGGGCTTCAGCCCCCCCCCCCAAATTCTCAGGGTGGTTCGCGAAAAGGCCTTACTGGTGCATTATTTAAACTGTTATGGTTATTCATATCATGATCTGATCACCATACTCAATATATCCCATATGCATGGGGGTATTGGGGTAATGATACAAAAGGTTTGCTAGGGTAGACCCTCTTTCACTCAGACTCACCCCCCCCCCCCCGAAACAAACTCAGCCCCCCCCCCAAAAAAATTTGGGCATACTGAGTATCTGTGCCAAGTTTGTCCAGATCCATCATTGTTTGAGTCCACAGTGCTCTCTGGATGTAGGTGAACTACAACTCTCAAAATCAAGCTCAATGCCCACCAAACCCAGTATTTTCTACTGGTCATGGCAGTTCTGTGTGCCAAGTATGGTTCAATTCCATCATTGGTAGAGTTCAGAATGCCCTTTGATTGTAGGTGAACTACAAATTTCAGCAATGACAAAATCAATCCCGCCTGCCAACCCCACCAGTATTCAAATTTGCGTGTATTCGGT